ATAAAATTTTATTGTCATCATGTTGCCTGTGATGTCCTTGTTTCTATAGATTTTCTCTGTAAAGTTCTGTTCTGTATCACTTTTGGGGTCTTTCTCCTTTTACAGAACCCCCTTAATGTTTCTTGCAGGGCCAACTTTAGTGGTCACGTATTCTTTCAGATTTGCCCATCTTGGAAGCTCTTTCTCTCTCCAACTATTCTAAATGACAGCCTTGCCAGATAAAGTATTCTTAGCTATATGTTCTTCTCATTGAGTACCCTGAATATGTCTTGCCAGCCCTTTCTGGCTTGCCAGGTCTCTGTGGACAGGTCTGATGTTGTTCTGATGTTCCTTCCTTTGTACATAAGGAATGTCTTCCCCTCAGCTACCCTTAAGATGGTTTCTTTGGTTTTGAGATTCACAAGTTTTACTAGTACATGCCTGGGTGTTGATTTATTCTCCTTGATTTTGGGAGGTGCTCTATCTGCCTCTAGGACATGAATGTTTGTTTTATTCCCCAGATTAGGGAAGTTCTCAGCTAGGATTTGCTCAAATATATCTTCTAGTCCTCCCTCTCTCTCTACACCCTCTCAGGGATCCCAGTAATTCTGACATTGGAACATTTCATGGCATCATTTATTTCTCTTGTTCTGTTTTCATGGATTCTAAGCTGTTTGTTCCAGGCCTCCTCCAGATCCTTCTTTTCTATCACTTTGTCTTCTAGATCATTAATTCATTCTTCTGCCTTATTTACCCTAGCTGTTAGAGTATCTAGATTAGATTTGTTCTCATTGGTAGTATTTTTATGTTCTACCAGATCAACTCTCACTTTTGCCCTTAGAGAATCTATGTTGTCATTAATGGTTTTCTCCAACCTAGCTATTATCTGCATAACTGTTATACTGAAATCTATTTCTGACATCTTCCTTATATCTATATCCATTAATTCTGTGGCAGAGGTCACAGTCTCTTAGTTTTTCCTGTGTTGGGGGTTCCTCTTCTTAGTCATTCTATTGAAGGATGGTTGAGGGAATGTACAGAGTCCAAATTATTGACCACAACCCAAGCGACATACACTTGTTTTATAGGGAATGTAGGGTTGTCTGCCTCTTGTTCTTCCAACCTGTCTTCTGGGGGAGGGGCCTGCCACAATGTTACTCAGGTAACCCTGTTTGAGCAGAGTCCCCCCTGTGAGGGGGATGGGCTCAGTTAAAACTGGCTTTGGGGGGGCTTTTGTTCTCTGGCATCTTTCCCTGACAGCTTTCTGCATCCCTTCTGAGAGTCAGAACAGGAGTGACCCGTATCCAAACTTCTGTCTCAGAACAGAGAGATCCCAGTCTGTTTTCCACCAGAGAACCCTCCAGGCCACATTGTCTCCATTTTTGTCTCTCCTCCTGAAAACCACAGCATCCTGTGTTGTGCTCCCCACAGCAGCACTCCCAGCCCTCACTTCAGGTCCAGGCATGTCTCTGCCCTTTGTGCTTCTAAAACTGCCAGCCACCCTCAGTTTGCATATGCGCCCCCACAGCTCAGGATTCCAGTCTGGGGGCTGCCCTAAAGTCCTTCCCTTGCTGCTACTGGTCTGCAAGTCTGTGCCTGGTCCCCAGCACAGGAGGCTTTTGTGCTCTGGTGGTGCAGGATCCCAGAGGCTCCCATCCCCTTCTGTTTATCTTCCAATATCTGCCAGCAGAATCATGGCTCCACACTTCACACCTCAAAACCAGCTGCCAGAGATATTCTGTTGGTATAGATCCAGATATATCTTCTTACATCTCAGGCTAATTTTGTGGGTGTTCAGTGTGTTCTGGTAGGTATCCAGCTCAATTCAGGGGACCGGTTGAAATAAGATCCTCTAATCCTCCACCATCTTGCCCTCCTCTCCTGATTCAATCTTCTTACTCATTATTTGTTTTCTCAGATTTTCTGTTTCTTCATGATTCAGTTTGGTAAGTTTTATGTCCTAGGAATATGTCCAATTTTCTAGGTTATCTAATCTGTTGCCATATAATTTTTATGAGCCTATGTATTTTTGTAGTATAAGTTGTCATGTCTTTTTTCATTTCTAATTTTATTATTTGAGTCTTCTTTCTTTTTTTTTTCTTAGTCTAGCTAAAGGTTTGTAAATTTTGTTTTTCCTTTTTTAAAAAACTGACTTTTAGGGGTGCCTGGGTGGCTAAGTCTTTGGATATCTGCCTTCAGCTCAGGTCATGATCCTGGGGTCCTGTGATCGAGCCCCACATTGGGCTCTTGGTGGGAAGCCTGCTTCTCCCTCTCTCATGCCCCCTGCTTGTATTCCCTCTCTTGCTGTATCTCTCAAATAAGTAAATAAATCCTTTAAAAAAAAACTGACTTTTAGTTTTGTTGACACTTTGTATTGTTTTTCTGATTTCTATTTCACTTATCTTCACTCTGATCTTTATTATTTCTTTCCTTCTGCTAACTATGGGCTTGATTTGTTCTTCTTTATCAAGTTCCCTGAAGTATAAATATAGGTTGTTTATTTGAGATCATTCTAATTTCTTAATATATCCATTTATCACTATAAACTTTCCTCTCAATTACTTTTGCCCATCACATAATTTTTTTTAAATTTTATTTATTTGACAGACACAGAGAGAGAAATCACAAGGAGGAAGAGAGGCAGACGGGGGGCGGGGGGCAAGGCACCCACTGATCAGAGAGCCCGAAGTGGGGCTTGATCCCAGGACCCTGAGATCATGACCTGAGCTGGAGGCAGAAGCTTAACCCACTGAGCCACCCAGGTGCCCCATCACATAATTTTTGATACACTGCATTTCCATTTTCATTTGTTTTGAGATATTTGTAAAATGTCTCTCTCTTTCTCTCTCTTTTTAAAGATTTTATTTATCTATTTGAATGAGAGAGGGAGAGAGAGAGAGAGAGAGGATGAAAGGGGGAAGGATCAGAGGGCGACACACACTCCCTTATGAGCAGGGAGCCCAATGGGGGACTTGATCCTGGACTTCAGGATCACGACCTGAGCTGAAGGCATTCTCTTAACCAACTAAGCCACCCTGTCAAATGTCTCTTTTGATTTCTTCTTTGACCCATTGATTGTTCAGAAGTCTGTTGTTTAGGTTCCTCATACTTATAGATTTTTCAGCGTTTCCCTTCTTCATTTCTAACTTCATTCCATTGTTGTCAGAAAAGATAGTTATGATTTCAATGCTCTTCAAACTTCTAAGATTTTTTTCGTTTGTGCCATATCATACAATCTATCCTCAAGAATGTTACCTGTGCACTCCAGAAGAATATTTTCCTGCTTGCTATTTGTTAGAATGGTCTATACATGTTTATTAAGTTCATTTGTTCTGGATTATGATTCAATTCCAATATTTTCTTTTGATTTTTTTCTGGATGTCCTACCCATTGTTGACAATGAGTTAGTGAGATATACTACTACTATTATTATATTTTTATCTATTTCTGTCTTCAAATCCATTAGTATTTGTTTAATATATTCCACTGCTGCAATGTTGGGTACACATATATTTACTATGGTTATATCTTCTTGATATATTGACTTTTTAATCAGAATATAATGATCTTCTGCATCTCTTGCTGTCTATTTTAGCATAATGTCTACTTTATCTGATGTAAGTATGGCCACCTTCATTTTTCTTTTGTTTTCCACATGCATGAAGTATCTTTTTCTATCCCTCTACATTGAGCCTAGGTGTGTCTTCAGAGCTAAAATGAGTTTCCTGTAGGCAGCATGTAGTTGGTTCTTGTTTTTTTTGTTTGTTTTTGTTTTCGTTTTAATCCACCCAGAATATTCTGTGTCTTTCTATTGGTAAATTTGATTCATTTATATTTAGAGTGAATATTGGTATGTTAAGGCATACTACTGTCATCATATTATTTGTCTTCTGGTTGTTTTGTATCTCCATTGTTTCTTTTCCCCTCTGTTTCTGTCTTCTTTTATAAAGTGGTGGTTTTCCATGGTGATTTACTCTCCCCTTTTATGTTTTGTGGCTCTTCTCTAGGTTTTTAGTTTGTGGTTACCATGTGGCTTACATAAAACATCTCATATATAAATTAGTCCTTTTTATGCAGATAGCACCTAATCTTCATTTGCCTATAAACTTCCACCCTTTTACTCCTTTGCTTTTATATTTTTCATGTCACAGTTTACCTTTCTTTTTTTTTTTTCAGCATAACAGTATTCCTTGTTTTTGCACCACACCCAGTGCTCCATGCAATCCGTGCCCTCTATAATACCCACCACCTGGTTCCCCCAACCTCCCACCCCCCACCGCTTCAAACCCCTCAGATTGTTTTTCAGAGTCCATAGACAATTTACCTTTCATTGAAAGGTCAATGAATTTACCTTCATTGAAAATTTCATTGAAAAATTATAGTAGCTATAGTTATTTTAATGTTCCTTTCCTTTAACCTTTATAATGTAATTGATTAACCCAGCATTTTAATATAGAGTTCCAGTTTCTTAATTCTGTTTATTTTTCACCTTTGCTAGAGTAGTGTGTACTTTCATTTGCTTTTATGTCACTAATAAGGATTTTTTTTTTCATTTCAACCTGAAGAACTCCTTTCAGCATTTCTTGCAAGGCAGATCAAGTGGTGGTGAATTCCTTGAGCTCTTGTTTATCTGGAAAAGGCTTTATTTATCTTTCATATCTGAAGGATACCTGGCTGGATAAAGTATTCTTGGCTGGCGAGTTTTATCTTTCAACACTTTGAACATGTCGTTCCAATCTCCTGGCCTGTAGATTTTCTGCTGGGATATCTGAAGATAGCCAAATGAGGGTTCCTTTGTAGATTACTTTCTTTAAAAAAAAAAAATTAGTCTTGAACTCTACCTTGTATTGTACATAAAATTTGAAACCAAATTGCATATCTAAATGTAAAAGATGAAAAATAAAACTTCTAGAAAATAACATAGGGAAACATCTTTATCAACCTGGGATGGGAAAAATGTTAATTTAAGATATAAAATCATTTAAATTCTGGAATAATGAGAGCTAACAAATTTTCAGTACCTGCAAAGTGTCTGGCATTGTTCTCAGAGATTTAGGCATATGTAATCTTCACAAAAACTGTAATATTGCCATTTTACAGATAAGAAAACAAATACAGAGATATTTACTAACTTATTCCGAGATTATATAGCAAGTATATGAAGGAAATGTAATTAATTGCTGTCAGTCTAACTTCAGAACTCATTATGCTGCTACAGGTCTGATTGGGTTTATAACCTGGGATGAAAAGGTCCTTCTAGTACATCAAATAAAAATACTGATGAATTTTTTACATAAATTTAAAATTTTTACATTTTGTCCAAAATAGACTTTTAAGAGTGTTAAAAAAATTAAGAGAAAAGATTTTGCAGCACACATAAGAGACAAAGGGTTAATGTCATTAAAATTAAAAAGAGGTCCTACAAACCAATTAACAACACCCATTCAAATAGGAAAAATGAGAAAGTTATAGGAATTGGTAATTCTGGCTAATGAATAAATGGAAAGGATAAAGGATAAATGGAAAATGTTACAACTAAAAAAAATGCTACAAATAAGGGGGTAAAGGGTGGTCTTGTGGCCAGATATATTTAAGAAATATCATATTAAATAAAATTAAACTATTTTCTTCACATTGAGATTTCTCAAAACCTTTAATATGTGAATATTCACTGTGACTCTACAGAAAAAGTATGAAATAGAACATTTTTAAAATCTTATTTAACCATGAGGACTTTTCTAACAAAACAGGAATTCTATTGAACATACTTGAAAATGCTGCATTAATTCATTTGCTCCTATAATAGTCCTATAACTTTTCCCACTTTATGAGGTTACATAATCTCATACAGGTGGTCTAAAGTAATGAGGCCTTTATTCCACCACAACTCTGTTACTTGTCCCAGAGTGTTGGGCCTAGAAAGATCCTTAATACATTTATAAAGAAGGGAGTAGAGACTTTTTATAAAGACTTTTTATAAAGTCAGTGGAGACTTAAGACTGGAGAAGCAGAGGCAATTGCTAAACTCTTGCTCCAATCCCCTGTATTTCCAGAACTCTTGGTCCAGACCCTGGGGATCATTTTAAATGGTATGTTCACTAAACCAAAACATCTACTTTGATTAATCAGTTGTAATCTCCTCATTTCCTGAGCCATTTTCTCTAACACATCATCCCCTCAGGACTCTGAATCAAGTCTCCAGGAACCAGGTAAGAGGTTGTAGGCCTCTTTCCATCCTCTGCCCTGGGTTAGCCTGGCACAGACCTGGCTCTTCCAGGGCATGTCCCTTGAGCACCATAAGCAGTGGAATTAGAAGCTGGAGCATCTTCTTTTCATCCCAGTCCAGATTTGCCCAACCTATGCATTTAACCAAAGCTGATAAAGGGCTAGCTGCAGCTGCTTCAGTTGGGGCCATCACAAATGCATGGCAGAGCTAGTCTTGGGTGACATCACAGTAAGCCCAGGGTTACGGAGGAAACAGGGGATTCAGGGCAGCCTGACTTAATGAGTCTGTGTGCCTAATCCTTCCCTATATTCCCTCCATAGTGGGGAATAAAGGAACACCATGTTAGGCAAACTTATGTTTGCACACTCCCTTCCCACTTTTGACTCTGAGCCTCTTGAGGAACAATGTACTCTATCATATGCTTTGGCATCAAAAAGCTATGGGTCTTTGGGTGAGTTTTCATATTTTTAATCTCAAAGTCTGCTATGACTTTTTAGAAGATTGAATTTTATTGTGAGGTTAGTGGGGAGAATGGTGGAATGAGAGTGGGTCACATAGTCACATATGCATGAAAAGATTACTCTGAGTGTTACACAGAGATTATTGTAGAGAGGATTAACCAAAAAAGAGAATATAATTTAGGAAGTGGCTCTAGAAGTGTAAATGAAAGATGAAGATGGCCTAGAGTAGTAAAGAGGGTTTCTGCATTAGTTTGCTAAGGCTATCATAAAAATGTACCACACAGTGGTTAGTTTAAACAACAGAGATTTCTCAGTTCTGCAGGCTGGTACGTCCAAGATTGAGGTGTCAACAGGGTTGGCATCCTTCTGAGGGACATAATGGAAGGATCTGTTCCAGCTCTCTCTGGTTGGTGTGTGGATGGCCACCCTCTCATTGCCTCTTCACAAGGTCTTCTCTCTGCACATGGACCCCTGGTGTCTCTTCCTCTGTTTTTTAAAATTAAATTAAATTAAATTAAATTATTTAATTTAATTTTAGTTTCAGTGTAGTTAACACATTATAACATAATAACATATAACATAATATAATATGTTATATTAGTTTTAGGTGTACAACATAGTGACTCAACAATTTCATATATCACCCAGTGCTCATCACAAGTGTACTCCTTAATCTTCGTCCTTATTTCACCCATCTCCCTGCATACCTCCCTTCTGGTAACCATCTTCCTCTTTTTATAAGAACAACAGTTATATTGGATAAGGGCCTTATTTTAACTTAAGCATCTCTTCAAAGATCTTATTTGCAAATATGATTACATCCTGAGGTACAGGGGGCTGGGATGTCCACATAAGAATTTTAAGAGGGACACCATTCAGCCCGTAATAGTGGAGTTACCAAGAAACAGATGTAACTGAGAGATATCCAAAGAGGTTGAATATAAAAATAATGTGATTGATGAGCTCTATAAGATGAGCATTTAGATCCAAGTACAGATCTGAAATTTTGGGGTGGGGTATAAATTAGAAAGTTATCAGCCTATTGAAGTCATGGAGTGGATGAGATTGTTCACTGAGGTTTGGAGAGAGAAGCAAAGAAGGCCTAGGGGTGAGCCCAGAAGAACTGACAACATTTATGGTGCTATATAGGAAGCAGAGCTGGAATAAGAAGCTGGAAATTACCAGAAGTACTGTAGAAAAATTAGAAGACGGTGTTGGTGTATAGAATGCTACTAAAATGTCCCAAAGAGGAGCAATGCCTCCTGATTAAAGATAATCCCTCCATGTGTCCTCTGAACCTCTCAATCCTCCCACAGCCTTGGGAATCTGATACTATCAATTATTTGTTCCTTCCCTAGTCCTCATGCTCTTTTTCTCTTTCACATCTTTCTCATCGGCATTTAAATGTGGCTCAGTTGGTTAGGCGTCCCCTCTTGGTTTGGCTCAGGTAGTGATCTCATGGGGTCACGAGATCAAGCCCTGTGTTGGGTTCTGTTCTTGGCGTGGGGTCTGCTTGGAGAGTCTCTCCCTCTGCCCCTCCCCACATATATGCACATGTGTGCATGAGCGCCTGCTCTCTCTCTCCAAAATAAGTGAATCTTTAGAAGAAAAAAGTTTGGTGTGTCATCAACACATAAAATATATGTATATACTAGACTATTATATCATTTACTGCCATAAAATACTCACAAATCTTTTACAAAAAGTTAAGATTTGTCAAAACTTATGCACACACATAGAATTTACAGACTGTACATGGAATCATTCATGGTCAGGAGAAATATAAGCAAATGGAAAGATGCAATATTAAATCATAACTGTAAAAAACTAATAGTAGTAGTGCATACTATATTACTGTATTACTATACAATAATATACTATACTATATTACTGTAGCATATATAAAATATATAATATATAAAATATATTTATATTTTAATTTTGATATATTAATATTTAATATTTAATTCATAAATTGATGTAATAAATAATTTAATCAATAAATCAATAATCAAATAAATAAATTAATGTAAAATATCAATCTAATTGATTTAAATATTAAATATTAAAATTTAAAATATTAATATTAAATACTAATTTAATATTAAATGAATCAAATAAATATTAAATAATATTAGATATTGATTTAATATTTTTAATTTAATAAATTTAATAAATTTAACAATTTAATATAAAATAATATTAAATATTTTAAATATATTGAAATATTAATATTAAAATATTTAAAAATATTAATTTATTTAAATATTAAATAGATAATGATTAAAATAAATAATTTAAGTAATAAATTAATTTATAAAATTAATAATATTTATATATTTATATTTTATATTTGATTTTAATAGTTTTATATATATAACATATAAATAGATATACAGTATATATACTATATAGTTTATTACTGTAGTAATATACTATAATATATTACTATATTACATATAGTAGTGCATACTATATTACTGTAATGATTTCATAGCCATCTTCTGTTGCTATTGCAGTGAACTCCAGTATTGGGAATATCTACTTAAAATGCTGTGATGTCAATCATTTCCATGTAAACAGCTGGTCTTTGCAGTAAATTGCGTATTGCATTTAAAAAGTGATCTCTCTGGGATCGAGCCCTGCATCGGGCTCTCTGCTCCGCAGGGAGCCTGCCTCCACCTCTCTCTCTCTGCCTGCCTCTCTGCCTACTTGTGATCTCTGTCTGTCAAATAAAAAAAAAAAAATCTTTAAAAAAAAAAAAAGTGATCTCTCATGGTTCTTGTGTATTTTTCATTGTGTTTAGTGCAATACTGTAAACCTAGAGTAACACTATGGACCCATACAAAGTGCTACCAGTGATGCTGAAAGTGCTCCCAAGAAGCAGAAAAAATTCCTGACATTACAAGAAAAAGTTTAATTCCCTCATATGTGCTATAACCTGAAGTCTGTAGCAGTGGTTGCCCACCATTTCAAGATAAATCAATCTAGCATAGGACCATCGTAAAAAAAAAAAAGAAAAGGAAATCCATGAAGTCATCACTGTGGCTATGCCAGCAGGTACAAAAAACCTTGTACTTTTTGCAAAATGCCTTTTTATATCATATTGAAAATGTGGCTTTTATATGGGTGCAGGATTTCTATAAAAAAGGCATACCTCTAGACTCTACTATGACTTGAGAAAAAGCAAAGTCATAATAACTTAGCGCAAAAGGAAGGTAAAGGATCTAAAACTGGAGAATTTAATGCCAACAAAGGATGGTTTGATGATTTTAGAAAGAGGTTTGGCTTAAAACATGTCAGGATAACAGGAGAACCAGCTTTTGCTGACCAAGAGGCAGCAGCTGAGTTC